CAAAGTCATCAATCCCCAAATCGTCTCTTCACAGTTTATGGTCAGAGCTGTTTTGACACCATCTGTTTTAAGCAGAAGAGAGCAAACACTGAAAGGTATCTTCTCAATCCTAAGCAACAGCACTTCACACACCCAGCTTCAAATACTATTTCTTAATGTGAGAAAGTGAAGTCTAGAACCAAAAAATTATCAACTTCAAATTTTTAATTAAGAGTATTTTAGGTCAATCAAATAGAGCTGAAGGGCTTGCAATGCAACCTATTTAAAGCATTTCAGCTTTACTTTTTCCAGGTTATTTGATCATACAGTCAGTATAGTTTTGAATGCAAGATAGAATTATAGAATGGTTGAGGTCAGAAGGGATCTCTGGAGGTCATCTGGTCCAACCCTCCTGCTCACGCAGGGCCACCCAAAGCTGGTTGCCCAGGTCCCTGTTTGGGTGGCTTCTGACTGTGTCCAAGGTGGGACACTCCACCATCTCCCTGGGCAACCTGTGCCAGTGCTTGGTCACCCTCACAGTAAAGAAGTCTTTCCTGATGTTCAGAGGGAACCTCCTGTGTTTCAGTTTGTGCCCGCTGCCTCTGGTCCTGTCACTGAGCACCACTGAAAGGAGCCCAGCTCTGCCTTTGCACCCTCCCTTCGGCTATCTGAACACATTGACAAGATCTCCCTGAGCCTTCTCTTCCCTAGGCTGAACTGTCCCAGTTCTCTCAGCCTTTCCTCATAGGAGAGATGCTCCAGACCCTTCATCATGTTTGTGGCCCTTTGCTGGTCTCTCTCGTACTGGCGAGCCCAGAACTGGACACAGCACTCCAGGTGGGGCCTCACCACTGCTGAGGAAAGGGCAAGGATCACCTCCCTCAACCTACTGGCAGCACTCCTCCTAATGCAGCTCAGGATCCAATTAGCCACCTTTGCTACAAGGGCACATTGCTGGCTCATGCTCAACTTTGTGATCACCGGGAGCCCCAGGGCCTTTCCTGCAAAGCTGCTTTCCCCCAGCACATACTAGTGAATGGAGTTGTTCCCCCCTCAGGTGCAGGACTTTGCCCTTTGCTCCTTGCTGAACTTCATAAGGTTTCTGTCAGCCCATTTCTCCAGCCTGCTGAGGTCCCTCTGGAAGGCAGCACGACCTCTGGTGCATCAGCCACTCCTCCCGGTTCTGCGTCAATAGTAAACTTGCTGATGGTACACTCTGCCCCATCATCCAGATCATCAGTGAAGCCATTGAACAAGACTATACCCAGTATTGACTCCTGGAGTACACTGCTAGCAACCGGCCTCAACTAGATTTTGTGCCACCGATTACCTCTCCCTGGGCCCAGCCGTTCAGCCAGTTTTCAGCCTACCTCACCGTCTGCTCATCCAGCCCATAATTCATCAGCACCTCCATGAGGACCGTATGGGAGACACTGTCAAAAGCCTTACTGTAGTCCACGTAGACA